CTCGCCTTCGCCGCCACCCATCCAACAGGTCGAGCTCGCCTCCGCCGCCACCCGTCCCGCAGCTCGGCCGCACCCGCCCTGCCGAGCTCGCCATCGCCGCCACACGTCCCGCAGCTCGGCCGCACCCGCCCTGCCGAGCTCGCCATCGCCGCCACACGTCCCGCAGCTCGGCCGCGCCCCGCCGAGCTCGCCTCCGCCACCACCTGTGCTCCACGTCGTGCTCCCGCCCTCTCTCCCCGTTCTCCCGGCGTCGCGCGCTCGCGCCCGGCCATGCCTGTACTCCGCGAGACGTGCTCCTGGTCGATAGTGTGCCCGGCTGCGTCGGCACCGCGGCGTGCTTTGGGCCGGCGTGGGTGGACGAGAAAAAGAGAGAAGAAGGAGAGAGAAAGGGACGGGATGGATGGTGGGTCCTTTTGTTTGAATGACAGATGGGCCAGCATCCATGTGCAGCGGACGCAGTCGGATAGAGAGGGGCGAAGAGGGCACAAAGAACGTCCGCTTTGTGTCCGCTTTTGACCCAAATTTTCCTAGGTTTGGGTCCAAAATGGGTCCGTCGGACACCAAACGGACAGCAGGCGGACGCGGTGTCCGTTTGGGTCGCCCCGTTGGGCTGAGTTTTGTGTCCGAATGACCCAAACGGACAAAATGGATCGCCTCATTGGAGTTGCTCTTATAACGTTGCTAGGTTAGGGTTGGTGCAAAGGTTGGGCATAACACCGCGTGTTGTCATTTTTTGGCCGATATTAATGTTGATTTGTGTAAAAAAATTGATAAGCATTTATTGACTTACCAAAGGATACATCCTCCATGTGTGTGTTTTATTACAAGTGTTTGCAGTAGCAACTTTGATTACGATCCGGTCTGAAAACTGAAATTAAACTCTCTCGCAAATGTTTGGTAGAATCACTTTGCCATAAGTGCACGTCTTCTCGTGGATCACACCTTGAGAGCGAGGTGTAGGTGATGGCGGTCATTGTCGTGTGTGCCGGCCGCATGCATGTAACGACGACGGCACGGTGTATCCTTCCTTTTCTTTTCTCCGGGCCAAGGTATCTGTAGACCGACACAGGAGAATCGACCGTGCCTGCACTGCCCTGCACACACGGAATCCGTGCATGCCGCGTTCCTCACAAGTCACAAGCTCATCGGTCTCTTTGAAAATTTTCAAAACGCAGAAACAAGAAAGAGCGAGCAGCATAAAATAGGAATGACCACGTGCTCTTTAATCCTTTTCGATTATCGAATAACGGAGTTGAAAAGCTTCCCTCCGTCCCATAGTATAAGATGTTTTTTTGACACTGGCGTGGAGGGACCAGTACAACATTTTCTGGCAAATGTTTCAGGTTTAGGGGAGTTGTATATTAGAGAGAACAACAACAAAGATAAGAGCTTCCCGCGCCTCAATCTCGAAGGGACCATCCAACCTTCCCCTCAAGGTCTTTGCTCATCAACTAATAAGAGTCAATACCCTCTCCAATAGTGTTCACACAAGCTTTAGAAACTCTCGCTTCAAATCCTTTACCTTTTCCTTTATCTCCCCCCGGGTAGGTGGCTCCTTTCCCCACTCCTTTTGGGGAGGCCCAAGAGGAAATAACGGAATAGATACTCACATGTTGAACTGATAAAAGGTTTGGAGGATGCTCATCTGGAGTGGATTCATCATCTCCTTCTTGTGTCAGTTCTCCCTCCTTAATCTCTAGGATATTCACCTTGTTGTCGGTCTCCTTTTCGGGTGCGGTTGATCCTTAAGGCTCGGCTTCCTCAAGCCCTCCCATCCAGCAGGCACCACTTCGTCAAGGTTGGAGGAAGGGATGATGCGGTTGGTGGTTGATGAAGATTTGTTGTTCATGGCGGCGCCCGTGCTCGTCACATCTGCAACTAAAGCTTTTTGCAGGAGGTGGCAAGCAAAAGAGGGTTGAGACTAGATTGGTTTGAGGCTGAGGGACGTAAAGAGTTAGTTAGAGAGAGATCAAAACTAAATCGGGAAAGAATCGTGGTAACAAACCAATTGATGACCTTCTAAATGAGCGGGAGCGCTTGCATGGTCGGTCGTATGGCTTGCCGCTGAGCCCTTCTCTCTCTCTCTCTCTCTCTCTCTCTCTCTCTCTCTCTCTCTCTCTCTAAACTACTCACTCCGTCCCATAGTGTAAGAATTTTTTTGTAGTGTCAAAAAACGTCGTACATTATGGGATGAAGGGAGTAACACGTTACTGTGATGGGGCCATGCGACTGCTCATACGATCTCCATTGGTTGTATGATACACCGTCATTTGTTCTATCGCCAAACCCTTCGTTGAAGAAGAGCCATGCGAGCGCGGGCACTCGCATGAAACGTCGTCAATCTATCTGTAATCATCTCCATTTCTGTTTCTTTCTCATACGGCAGCCCATATGACCAGCTCTGATCGTATGGTTCGCCGTCTTTGCCTTTGTTGGTCTCTTCGTCAACTTCTTCCTTAGAGGTGTTTCCTCCCTGAAAAGTTAGTGACAAAAACCTCCAAGTATGGACGAAAACATCAATGATTAAGTCACGCGATTAAATAGGTCTAACGCAACAAAAAAAATCTAAGCCAGTTACATCTCTCTATGTTATTGACTGTTTTTTTTTTTGCATTGCCACATGTTTTATTTTGTTGTGACTCCATTTGCGTACTGTTTGTCATCTCTCTAGGAAACTGCCAAACTGGTATTTAAACTCTCTTAAAACTCTAGTTTTATTCCAAACTATTTTTTTCAGCTTGCTTGTGTGAAATTTGAATTATAAGATCCACATAGAGAATGTCAAAAATGGTGGCATGCATGCATGGGCCAAAAGATGAAGGGCGGCATGCGTACATGGGCTAGAAGCATGGGCCATGCGTCCACTCTCGAGCTTTTAGCCCATGGGCAATGAACTGCCACCATTTTAGCCCATCGACTCCACTCTCGAGCAAATGGGCAACGAACAGCCGGCGGCGCCTGGGAATGTGCCAAGATTCGTGCCTAGATCCAACGGCTCCCAGGTCGTTCACTGGAAGTTCCTTCGTAGGGAACGTTTGTCGCATAACATTTTTCTAAGGATTTCCATATGTCGCCTTTTGTAGATAGCCAGCCAGTATCGGTATACATGACATTGCATTGATGCAGAGGACAAGCATACCTGATATCTTCTTGATATGAATACAAAAGATATTGTTAAAAGAAATGAGCCTTCAAATTGCTAGAATCATTTCGAGGAGCACAATACAATATAAATTCCGAACTACACGTCGTGATCGCACGATGCCCATTGTGTAGCAAGGACGCGAAGGGGAACCCTCTTTCGCGAGGTGATCCCGGGCGCCTCCTCCATGTCCACCACCTCCTCCGTCCCCCCCTCCGGCAGCGCCCAGTCGAACCGGCCGACGAGGTTGGCAATGGCGACCTCCATGATGGACATGGTGAAGTTGATCCCCAGGCACACCCTCCTCCCAGAACCGAACGGTACGAGCTGGAAATGTCGGCCACGAAAGTCCACCTCGCCGCCGATGCCGAGAAACCTCTCAGGCCGGAACTCCTCCGGGGACTCCCAGCTGTCGGGGTCCCTTCCGATGGCCCACGCGTTGACGATCACCATGGTCTTGCTCGGCACGTCGTACCGTTGGATCCTCGCGGGCTCCATGGCCTCCCGGGGGATCAGCAGCGACCCCGGAGGGTGCAGCCGCATCATCTCTTTCATCACCGCTTTCAGGTAGACCATCCCTTCTAAATCTTCTTGGGTGATCATGTTGTCCATTATTTGGGAGTCGATGCTTCCAGCAGATCTTAGCTCGTGCTGTAGCTTTTTCATGGCGTCCTTGTTGCGGAGCAGCTCTGCCATGGCCCATTCGAGCACGATGATGGTGGAGTCTGCCCCTGCCCCGAACAGATTCTGCGTGTCCGGCCGGGAAATACGACATGAATTATTAGGTAAAGTCAGAGTCAGTTAGTGAGTGAATCATTCAGTGCGCGTACCGCTAGGAGCCCCTTGACGTTGTCCCTCGTGAACCGCCGCTCTGGGGCCGCGCCGCCGGTGCCGTTGCCGGATGTGTTGTCGCCGAGGGACAGCAGCACGTCGACGAAGGTGCTGTCGTGCCGCCCCAGCGCGTCGCCTCCCATTCGTCTCTCCGCGGCGTCGACGATCTCCTCGAGAACGGCGTCGATCCTGTCGAACGCCTTGCCGACCTTGGCGTCGGTGCCGTCCAGGGCGCCGACCCACGCCAGGCTGGGGAAGTAGTCGCCGACGTGGAGCCAGTAGGGGCCGTGCGGGGCGAAGGCGACGTCGGTGCAGCCGTAGAAGAGCTTGGGGCGGGTGGCGAAGACGTGGTCCTGCGCCAGCATCACCTCCCGCGCGGCGTCGGGCGAGGACACGACGACGGCCGGGACCTGGCCGAGGCGGAGGAGCATGACGGGGCGAGGCCGGCCAGCGCGCGGTGCGGGAGGCGGCCGCCCGCGAGATGGTGCAGGTTGCCCACGAGCGGGAGCCGCCACGGGGAAGGCGGCGGGACGGTGGTGGCGAGCTTGGAGTTGGAGTGATGGGCGCGAGCTGCACGGAGGAGTAGCGTGCAGCAGAGGATGGACACGGTGGTGGCCACGGGGAGGAGGACAGCGTCCTCCATGGCCGGCCGCCGCGATGCTTAAGTCAGTTCAAGTTATAGTAGCGATTGTCGCGTATTTCAATTATGGGACATGTCAGATGTATGTCAAAAGGATTTCCTTAAAATGAAATATAACCAAGGACGTCTATACGATACAATAATGGAGTTTTTTTTTTGGCACAACCCTTGCTGTGGCCGACCCTAGGGAGGAGGGGGTCGACCGAGGAGGAGGTTTCGCTGATGGCGCAGCCCCCGCCAGCTGCGCCATATAAATCAAATAAATAATAATTAGTCGAACTTCAAATGTTACACTTGATTTTGTTTCTTTTTCAGAGACCAAGGACTGCTATCCCATATGGCATGAAAATTGTTTTTTTTTCGAGAGTACGCCAACGGCGTACCTTAGCTTTATAGAAGGCAGAAAGAATAATTACAAGATATCATTGCGAGATGCGAACATCCCCAATGGCACACCCGACACCACACCAACCAGACCCGACTAGGCTACTCTCTCACAAATGGATCTAAACCACCTACACCTAATCCGGCCGCTCTCCAGTCCTTAAGCTCTAGAAGCACCTGCTGGACTAATTGTAGCGGAGTTTTTTGCTGATGGGGTCGATTGAACAGCCTTGCATTCCTTTGCTTCCACAAAGCCCAAGCCATCCCAATGATAAATGAGTCGAATCCTTGGATCGACCTGCCTGTGAAATTCCTTCTTTGTTGGAGCCACCAATCTTGGAACGTGCTCTCATTCGTCCGAGGGTCGATGTTTAGCTGAAAGAAGTCGAAGCACCGGTGCCAAGCCTCCCTGGCGTAGACACATTGAACGATGATGTGGTCAACGTTGTCCTCCTCTTGCAAACACGTGAAACAAGCAGAAGGCTGGTCTTGGAGTCCATGCCGGGCTCTCCTGTCTGAAGTCCAGAGTCTGTATTGAACTGTTAGCCAAGCAAAGATTTTGCACTTCAACGGTGCCCAGCTCCTCTAGATGCACGGTGCCGTGGGTGATCTGGTAAGCCCCTGGCATAGCCTATGGTACACCGATTTAGCCGTATAGACACCTGAAACATCGGCAGGCCAAGCGAACTGATCAACCTAGTCTTCGATGCGAGGTACTATGGTGATCGCGAGGCATAGATTTGCAATTTGAATATGTGCCGTGAAGGAGATATCGCCTTGAACATCCAGCGCCCACGCGTTGTTGGTCAAGGCCTGCCGAACTGTTCTAGAGTTGCGGGCTCTAGTGCTGACGAACTCCATGATAGTTGGTGCAATTTCTGCCACCGTAAAGCCGTGGATCCACCTATCTCTCCAGAATAGTACCCGATCACCATTGCCCAAAGAGATCTTGACCAGGGAGTTGAAAACCATCCTGGCCTCCTCGTCATCAGCCATAGGTATGCCCTGCCATGGCCTCGCCGGGTCTGTACGGCGCAGCCATTCCCATCGAACTCTGAGGGCAATCGCTTGTAGCCGGAGGTCCTTTACCTCCAAGCCGCCAAAGCAAGTTGGCCTACACACCGTCTCCCAGGCCACCAGGCATTGACCGCCGTTTGTCTTCTCCTTTCCCGCCCAAAAGAAGGCGCACATCCATTTCTCAATCTCCTCGAAGACCCAGATCGGCGCATCCAGCACCATGAGTTGGTGTATAGGCCTAGCCGATACCACAAACTCCAACCAATTCTGTTTTCTTGTAGATGTTCATATTACTGTTAAGCACGAGCCTCTATCCAAGTTGTTCGCCAAGCATGAAAATTGTTAAGCACTCTTGCCACAGTAATATGAACATCTACAAAAAAACAGAATTTTTAAAATTTATTTGATTTTACTGTTCATTAAGGAGCATATGCTCCCAGAGCCAAAAATCCGCGTTCGTCTGTTCCTCACATCATTGTGGTTCCTTGTGTGATGAAATAAACACAATACCTACAACCTCTATGTTGCTTTGGGATGCGGCGTTGTGAGTAAATAGAATACAAAGTACACATGGCAAGTGATATGAAGATGATATACGTACTCTATGAGACTAATATGATAATATTGATATACTATCAAATATGGAGTTGATATTTTTACAATTTGGAGCCCATCACAATCCACTCCACACATATGCCAAGTTCTGTGTGTGATCGTATATTCGCCCGCACAGCACGGATCACACGGGTCTATCTTCATCTTGCACGCGGAGCAACATATAAGGTGCTCTGGTTCAGAGGCAGGCACAGGCCACTGCTTATTTACCTAAAGTGCGACAATACTTGGAGATGCTTTCGATGGAGCGAGTGGATCACCCCCTTCATAGAATACCCCCTTTACTCGAGTTCTTCGTCATGAAAGATCTGTTGAAGGTCATGAACCTCGCGGTGAATTCTGCCAGGATCTGTAGAAGCTCATGAACCCGACGGTGAATTCTGCCAGGATTTTGCAAGGGTTAGACTACAGTTCACAAGTGAACCAAACCAAAAAAAGCAATTAGCACATACCTTCAATCTTTATGTAGTATTGGATGGCTTCCCCTTGGTCACGGCCTTCCACGGCAAAACGTTCTATACTGATGTCCAAGGTTGTGTCCCGAGACCTGTATTCTTTGACTTGCTCTCAAGTGTGACTGAAGATGCGTGTAGTCATGCTCACATGGTTGAACTCCGATGCCAGTTCATCGACACTGTTCTAAAAATCTTTATCCATGTGCCTTTTCAGTCCAGTAACCAGGTGCTGCATCTCAAAAGGAAAAGGAAAAGGAAAAAAGGAACAGTAATGAGCAATGACAAGTACGAGCATTAACCGGGCTCCTCAAATCAGATAAAACATGTGACATAAGGTAGAGCAGAGCTTACGCGGAAAATGAAATAAGGTGACACGTTATGCTCAATCATTTTTCTGATCTTCCCTCGAATGAGATACAGCCTGTGTATAAATCAAATCTGTAAAATTTATTTTTGTAGTGAAGTTGAAGAAAGAAGCTCCCGCGTACTGAACTGCAAAACAACACGGTGGAAGGGTAGCATACTGCTTTGGACTTGGCTCCTCCATGATTTTCTTGGCCACATTATATATTTCTTCCTCCCATCCCGTCAAAATAGGTTGATCTTCTACGAACAGATAGCTGTATTTGTTAAGGGAGCTGTTTATCAGTATGGAAAACCAAAATTACAGTAATTCTTCGACACAAGCAAAATAGGATCCATAGTTAAAAGTATGAACAGACACTAGTACTCCTCTAAAGACCAGTTGTAAATTCAGCACCTCTATAGATCAGTTGTAAATTCAGTACTATCACTCAAGATTAATATCATACCACTTGGACCTTGCAAACACTTATAAAACAAAGGAGAATGAAATCACGGTGCGAAACCATTTCTTTAGTAGTGCAGCATCCTTTTTAGTCATAACATGGCAGCAGCATTTGCACAGTAAATTGATCGGTGTGGCTTCCATTCCAAAATTGACAATATTATTATGTCGATATACCATCAGAATATGAAAAGGAGAAAGGATCCGTGTGCTTACTTTGCTCTCCATGTAGCTTCAAAAGAACGTATTGCCTGTCGGAGATTGTTGCATGCGCTCACTGCAATTCTACTGGCAATTCCGCGAGGCAAATCTACGCCTTCTTTCATAGCAATGAACTCCAGAACCTTGATCATCTAAGAGAAGAGAAGATGATCTTTCATCAAATTGTCAAACACTCTAATTAATGAGGAAATAATCATCCATAAAGTAATAAACAGACTGAGTTTGAATGTATACCTCCTCAAATGAAGGTGGCTGAAGCGTGACGACCTTGCATAGATGTTTGACAGCCTCAAGGTTTGAAGAATCAGAGCAGCAGAAGATGATTTTGTTGCAACCTGCATACCTTCCCAGAAACCAACCGATGTAATGTTGAACATGGGACGAGAGCCTGTCAGCGTCATGGACCACAATCACTGCATTATATGAACCTCTAACACTTTGTCATTTCACATCAACCAAGAACAGGCAGCAATTCAGACTCCTGTCTTGATTGACTGATGCGTCATCAAACGAGAAGCAAAACTCTATGGGCATGTAGTACCTTTGCAGTTAGTATGATCGCAGATCGAGTGTGGTGGCAGGATTGATTCATTGAGCAAAGTGGTTATGACATGATTCTCAAATTTTTTTTTGAAAAGGGGAAATACCCCAGCCTCTGCATCAGAAAGATGCATACGGCTCATATTATTAAAAACGATCGGCCAAGTTAACCTCCACATGATGGCCTGAAATCTTGACTTTCACATGGATGTGTCCGGCAATTTCTCCCTACATCAAATTCGCCAGAAATAAGGTAGTACATTTTTTAGCTTCCTTACGACGAGTTAATCAATCAGAAAAAAACGCTATTCTAAGTTGCAATGCATACCTTCAGTTCGATTCTCTTTGAGTGTTCATGTACCTGCAGTTTAATAACAGAAGAGAAATGGTAAATGCATAAAGCATATTCTGAATTTGAAGCAGCAAGGTTTGGTTGGGATAAATTCGTGCCTAGAGAGAGAT